GTAAATATGTAAAAGTGTAGGTGAGTGTGCATATGGGAGGGATTATGATGTGGTGTGAGAAAGACTGAGGTTTGGAAGCACCAACATGCTAAATCCTTCTCTTCTCTCAGGGTCATTTTAACTGTTTCCTCACCAGGGGGCGTCCCTTTCCTGTCCTCAATCTTGGCTGGATGCCAAGTCATATGCTCTCCAAACTCTGTTTTCCACCTGTCCTTTCTAGCAAAGTTATCTGTTGGGCGCAGCTACAGTGTTTTGGACATGTTCAAGCCTTGGACTGAGGAGAGGGCACAGCCCTCTCATTGCCACATGCAAGTCCCAGCTGGAGGGCAGAGCCTTCCCAGCACAATTATAGCCAACGGCTCTAGCTGTAAGCTTGAACCTGTGGTCCGAACACGTGGCCCCCTGTGCCTGAGTGATAGAGTTCAGGTGCATGTAGTTGAGTAGGATCGAAACTCATGAGAATGTTATAAACATCTTGGTCATGCCCTCACTTTGCCTCGTGGCATCTGCTATAAAATAAAGACACGGCTTGTGGGCGTTGGCGCTGTCCATCAGGGAGCAGCGTCCCACCGAGACCCAGCTTTCATTCTCTTGTCTGTCTTTTCTAAGCCTTTCATCGCCCCCACTCAGGGTCACTGAACCAGGCTGAGCTGGCATGAGTATGCCATGGCCGTTCCGGCTCCCCACAGTTATTTTGGAGGCAAGTAACTGAACCCCAAATCAACCTGTTCTGGGAAGTGCAGTGGGAATATCTAGAGTCTAGATCAGGAGTCTTCAAACTACGGCCCGCGGGCCACATGTGGCCCGCCAAAATCATTTATCCGGCCCGCTGGGTGTTTTTGTCGCCGCTGTGTCCATAGGAATTTGTTCATAGTTTTTTTTTAAACTATAGTCCGACCCTCCAACGGGTCTGAGGGACAGTGAACTGGCCCCCTGTTTAAAAAGTTTGAGGACCCCTGGTCTAGATATTGGTTCTCAACCTTCTGGCCCTTTAAATACAGTTGCTCATGTTGTGACCGAACCATAAAATTATTTTCGTTGCTGCTTCATAACTGTAATGTTGCTACTGTTATGAATCGCAATGTAAATATCTGATATGCAGGATGGTCTTAGGTGACCCCTATGAAAGGGTTGTTCGACCGCCAAAGGGGTCGCGACCCACAGGTTGAGAACCGCTAATCTAGACGCTCATAGCCAGCTTCAGGCACAGCTGGATCTAGGTGTTTAAATGATGTCATCAGACATCTCTGCCCATCAACTGGCTACCTTTCCCATGTGTTGGCCTCATTCTTAGGAAATCTCTCTACTCATGGTAGAGAGAGGGCCTCCGCAGCTCCACACTTAGATTCCTTAGCAAACCCAGCAGAAGGAAAATGCTTTAATCCCCAGAATTCTGAGGAGCAGTCCTCAGAACGCTCCTCCTTGGTCTGCTTTGGGTGGTGTGCCCAGCTCTCAAGCAATCACTGAAGGATGGGGCTGAATGGCTCTGATTGGCCAGACTTGGGTCACATGTCTAGCCCTCGCCCAATCACTGTGGTTGGAGGATGAAGTGCTCTGATTGGTTGGGCTTAGGCTTCTCTGGACCCATGAGGAGGTTGGTTTCGCAGAAGCCCTGGGAGCTGTTAGCTGAATAAAAGAGATGCATGCTGGGTGAGCAGAAACCACAGTCCTCATCCACATGGCGGATGGTAATTTGTCGGCCCGGCTAGAGGGTTAAGCCTCGGACTGACCCGTTGGCAAAGCCACAAACAAGTCCCAGCTTAGAAGGCACAGTCCTCTTAGCATAATTAGGCTTGACCTTAAGACGCTGCCTAGATCCTTCCTAGGCAGCTAATGGGCTGGGGGAGGCGCAGCAAGTGCTGCCAAAACAAGTGAAACTCACAAGAACATTGTAACTATGGCGACCACTACCTTGTTTACCTCTGGCTATAATGTAAAGGCTCTGCTTGCCTCTGGATATCTCTCTGTGGCCTCAGCCAGGCACAGGAAGATTCACCTAGATTCTAGACCAGCGATGGCGAACCTTTTGAGCTCGGCGTGTCAGCATTTTGAAAAACCCTAACTTAACTCTGGTGCCGTGTCACATATAGAAATTTTTTGATATTTGCTACCATAGTAAAACAAAGACATATTTTTGATATTTATTTTATATATTTAAATGCCATTTAACAAAGAAAAATCAACCAAAAAAATGAGTTCGCGCGTCACCTCTGACACGTGTGTCATAGGTTCGCCATCACTGGTCTAGACCCAGCTTATTCTCTTTGTCATTTCTTTTTTTTTTTTTTTTTCTTTTTTTTTTTTTTTTAATATATTTTATTGAGTTTTTACAGAGAGGAAAGGAGAGAGATAGAGAGCCAGAAACATCGATGAGAGAGAAACATTGACCAGCTGCCTCCTGCACACTCCCCACTGGGGATGCGCCCGCAACCAAGGTACATGCCCCTGACCAGAATCGAACCCGGGACCCTTCAGTCCACAGGCCGACGCTCTATCCACTGAGCCAAACCGGTTTCGGCTCTTTGTCATTTCTTCATCCTTCACCACCCTCACTCAGGCTTGCAGAACCCTAGACTGAGCTGGCTCCGCCCAGTAATTAAATGTGTTGTAAACATTTGCTTATCACCCATCAGCGGTCCCCTGGCCTGACTAGTCGCCCCAGCAGAGGCAAAATCATAAAAGAGGCAGGACTGCTAATACCAATAGAGGCATAACCATTCCCTTGACATGGACCCTTTTAAGAGACTCTGGATGGAACCTTGCCCCAGGGTGGAGCTTGGGCCTCTCTGGGAAAATCATGACCTTCTGAGTCAGATCTGCATTCAATGCTCAGTCCTCTCATTATACACACTCGCTTATTCATTCACTAGGAAGATATTTATATAGCACTAACGGGGTGCCAGGTACTTACAGTTCTAGACACTGGGGACACCGCTGTGACCGACAAAATCCCTACCTTCCCGGATCTGAGGTGGCCCTGGGGGAGGGGAGAGAGATCATTAAGAAGAGAATAAAGAAAGAATTTCAGGTAGTAATAAATACTATGAAAAATAAATAAAACAGTGTATCTTGCTAGTGTGGACGAAAGGGTCCACATGCTAACCTGACAAGCTCAGGGGAGGCCTGCATGGCGGTCTTGCAAACTCAGAGTCCTAAAGTAACCACAAAGGATGGTCTGAAATTAAACTTTAACTAAAAGCAGTTATGGTGGGTGGTTACATCCTAGGCCGGTATCTTCACTGACAAGGTCAACCTTTACCTCAACTGAGCCTGTCCATCTTTTTGCATCTATGATAACATACCCTTGAAATGTCTGGGTAACTTATAACTTTCCTTTTTCTGGACCCCTTGAGACACAACCTAATGTGCCTGGGCGCCAGGACACATACCACAGATTCCTTCACTATCATGTTAATTATTCCTGCACCCACCTAAGTAGGTGTCTATCATTTTACTTTTTATCCAATCCCAGGTGTTGCCCCCCCCCCCGCCCCCCACCCCGCTTTGCTTTCTCCCGCCTCTCTAGTCTATCACCAATGGATTTCATGTAACCCACCTATGTCCCTTCCTTTGCTTGCAGTGTATAAATACAGATGTAATCCGCCGTTCTCTGGAGCATTATCTCAATTCATTGAGGTTTTGCTTCCTGGCAATGGTCGACAGTTTGGCTCAAATAAACTCACAAAAATTCTTTACAGGTTTGAATGTTTTTTTTTTACGTTAACACTAGCAAGGAGCTGGGGCGGGGGGGTGGGGGTGGGGGGCGCTGCCTTGCAGCCAGCCTTGGGGACGGCCTCTTGGAGGCGTTGATATTTGGTTTGAGACTGGACTGTGTCAGCCATGCGATGCTTTGTGTGCAGCTCTCAGAAGAGGGAGCAGCAGGTGCCAAGGCACTGTGGCAGCTCCTCAAGAACAGACACACTCAGTCTCTGGGGACCCCTGGGGAAGAGGAAGATCACCCCGACCCCTCAAGTTGCTCTGAGGCTTCAATGAGACAAAGACTGTGAGAGCTGGTGCTGTGCCTGTCCTACGGCAGGTGCTGGGCTCCGCAACCACCAGCTATTTGGGCAACACAGTTGTTACTGTGAGGAGGAAAGAATGGACTTGGAGAATCAAAGGATGAGAGGGAGGTGCTTTGGTGGCTTACCTTCCAGAATCCAACATGCAAGGTGCCGTGTGAGCGAGGCCCTGACACTGGGCTTCTGAGCAGCCTCGGGGCACCCTGGAGACCAACAGGAAGAACTATGTTGCTGCCCTGGCCGGTGTTGCTCAGTGGATAGAGCGTCCGCCTGTGGACTGAAGGGTCCCAGGTTCGATTCCAGTCAAGGGCATGTACCTTGGTTGCGGGCACATCCCCAGTAGGGGGTGTGCAGGAGGCAGCTGATCGATGTTTCTCTCTCATCGATGTTTCTAACTCTCTATCCCTCTCTCTTCCTCTCTGTAAAAAAATCAATAAAATATATTTTTTTAAAAAGAATTATGTTGCTGTAATAGCGGCCACCACTCACTAGCACCTACACCTGGCAGGCCCTCTGCGGGGTACCTGATATCCATGGGCCCCTCTGGCTCTGGGGTGGACACTAGGAGCGACACCCCCATTCGACAGAGAAGGGAAACTGAGGCTCAGAGCTGGTATCACAGAGTCTGGAGCAAAGCCAGGAAGCAGCCAGGCCTCCCCACACCTTACCTGATGACCTTTGGCCATGACTCACCTCTGAGTTGGGGTGATCATTGTGCCCCGCCCGCTCTCTGCCTTTATTGTTCTCCCAGCGTGGAGGGGGAGGGTGTGCAGAGAGGGAGGGAAGCAAAACCCTTTTCCAGGATCCCTGCCCCCCAGCCTACTCCCCACCCACCCTCCCACCAACCCCTTGCTGAGAAGAATGCGGGCCTGGAGGTGGCTTCCCAGCGGGCAGCTGGAGGCTGGGACTGGTGGGGAGAGGGGGTGTGGCCAGGGCAGGGCAGGGGCAGGGCAGGGGCAGGGGCAGGGCCAGGGCAGAGTACTTGACTGTGCGGTCTGGGAAACCCCACTCCTGACAGGGCGACCTCCCCGCTGTGCCCCTGAACAGAAGTCGGCATGAGGCGCCCCCTGAACGCCGGCTCTGCCCACGGCCCTGCCTGGAAGGGACTGCTGCTAACAGGTGCGTGCGGGACAGCGGCTCCACCGCGGCCTAGGGACCAGGAAAGGACGCCCCTCGGAGAGTTTCTATCCGAGTTAGAGTCGCCCCACTCAGAGCTGCCGCTCTGGTCAGTGCCACGGGGCACAGGCCTGTGCCATGGACCCTCTTATGAAGGAGGCAACGGAGGCTCAGACAGAATCAGAATCCAGGGCCCCACCCCAGCCCCTTTCCACGAGCGCATCCTGTCTCGCCCAGCTCGCCACCTCTAATCACAATGCTAAAATAGTGACAGTGTCGATAATAAAACAACAGCAACCCTAATACAAAGGGGTCATTGTGACAGTATTTCTCCAAGCCGGCCGGTTCTAACGGTGCTTTCACTTAGCAACGTTTCATTCTTAGCCCCAAGATGCAAGGGCTGCGTGGATCCCAGTCCACAGAGGGGACACTGAGGCCCGGGGAGGTTATGTGCCCTCCATGGGCCCCGCAGCTTAGAAGTGGCAGGAGGAGGATTTGACCCACGTGGAGATCCACACGCATCCACCTCTCAGATAGTAAGCGATTTGCCTCCTCCCCCAGGTCTTGTAAAGCCCAGTTCCGTGTCATTTCAAAACCCCAAACTTCGCCTGGTTTAATGCTTCTGTTTGTCCCCAGCCAGGCCGGTGTCAGACGGTAGTGGGGACAGCATGGGACATGGTGGGCCTTGTCCCACGTCCTTTCTCCCAGCCCAGAGCTGTAGTCTGTGCACCCCCGCCCTGCCCCCCGCCATTCCCCCCCTGCCACCCCCCTCCCCACCCCACCCCATTCCAGGGCCATAGGCAAAGGGGAAAGGAAGTGGGAAGGTTTCTGTTTGCTGATTATAGTTGTAAGAGGGTGGGGGAGGGCGTTCTGTGTGACTGAGGCACTGTTTGTTACTGGTACTCTCTGGGTGAGGGGTACTCTCTGGGTGAGGGGTACTCTCTGGGTGAAGGGTACTCTCTGGGTGAGGGGTACTCTCTGAGTGAAGGGTACTTTCTGGGTGAGGATACTCTCTGGGAGAAGGGTACTCTCTGGGTGAGGATACTCTCTGGGTGAGGATACTCTCTGGGTGAGGGGTACTCTCTGGGTGAGGGGTACTTTCTGGGTGAGGATACTCTCTGGGAGAAGGGTACTCTCTGGGTGAGGATATTCTCTGGGTGAGGGGTACTTTCTGGGTGAGGGGTACTCTCTGGATGAGGGGTACTTTCTGGGTGAGGATACTCTCTGGGAGAAGGGTACTCTCTGGGTGAGGATACTCTCTGGGTGAGGATACTCTCTGGTGAGGGGTACTCTCTGGGTGAGGATACTCTCTGGGTGAGGGTACTCTCTGGGTGAGGGGTACTCTCTGGGTGAGGATACTCTCTGGGTGAAGGGTACTCTCTGGGAGAGGGTACTCTCTGGGTGAGGGTACTCTCTGGGTGAGGATACTCTCTGGGTGAAGGGTACTCTCTGGGTGAGGATACTCTCTGGGTGAGGATACTCTCTGGGTGAGGGGTACTCTCTGGGTGAGGATACTCTCTGGGTGAGGGGTACTCTCTGGGTGAGGGGTACTCTCTGGGTGAGGGGTACTTTGGGGACACTAGGCCCTGGACAGGGTGTTGCTAAGGCTTCCATGAAGTGGCCCTCTGGAGGCTCACGGCCACCTCCCCGCCCCCTCCAGCCTCTTTCTGCCATGGTCGGTTGCAGGGTCGCAGGCCAGCAAGCCCTGCCGGTCAGGGTCTTTGCCAGGACAGCCTGCAGCTGGCCCTCCGCGCAGGCCCGCCCCTGGCTCCTGGGAAACAAACGCATGGACATCTTTGTTGTTCCCTCAGTCGTTGCAGGTGGGCCATGTCCACCCGCCCTCTGTTCCCCCGCCCCACAGGCCACGCCTCACCTGGAGGCCTGGAGGGCTAAGTTCCCACATGCTCCGGGATGCTTCCCTACCTATCTCTCTAAGAGGCCCCTAGGAGCACCCTCCCCTCGCCTGGGGGGCGGGGAGCCCAGCCCGCACCCGTGGGAAGGACTCAAGTTCATTCTCAACTCTCCACTTCTCCCCTTCTCAGCTCTGCGCCCCTTCTCTCCATGAGCTCTTTCCTTGTTGCTGTTATTCTGTTAGTTTCAGGTGTACAGCACAGTGGTTAGGCACTCGGACACTTTACAAGTGTCCCCCGATATGTCCAGTAGCCACCTGGCCCCGTACATAGTCGTTACAACATCATCGACTCCCTTCCCTGGGCTGCACCTGGTGGGTCAGGGCGTGTCCCTGACTCAAAGGTTAGAGATGAAATAAAATCTCCACACGCCCGTGAGGGAAGAGCTCAGGAATCAGGTCCGTGGCTCAGTGCTGAGATGCCACCCTTCATGTGACATACTTAAATATTTACCCACTGTTTTATTTACTTATTGAAATGTATAGTATACAGGGTGGGGCAAAAGTAGGTTTACAGTTGTTCATGTTGAAAATAATACAATAATTAATAAATAATCTATCCTAATAAAAGGGGAATATGCTAATTAGACTGGGAGACCTTCTGGACAAAGCCATGGTGGTGGGGCTGAGGCAGAGGTGGTTAGGGGTGATCAGGCCAGGCGGGGAGGGCAGTTGGGGGCGAGCAGGCTGGGGGGGAAAGTTGGGGGTGAGCAGGTTGGCAGGCAGACTGGTTAGGGGCGATCAGGCAGGCAGGCAGATGAGCAGTTAGGAGCCAGCGGTCCCAGATTGGAGAGGGTGCAGGCCAGGCTGAGGCACACCACCCCCTCCCCCCGTACATGAATTTCATGCACCCGGCCATTAGTAAAAGAATAAAGTGTGTTTCCTTTACTCACAACAGTAAACCTACTTTTGCCACACCCTTTATAGAAATACATTTTAAATATATGTAAAATATAGTTTCTGTTTATTAACATAATTTATACTTTTCTTTATATTTATGCATTATTAAATTATAAAATTGATATATCATAATCATATATAACCAAGTAATATATGCATAATTATCTATTAAATTAATTACATGTTATATAATGTATAATTATATAATGTTAGAATACTTATGTATAATTATTAATTTTTTGTTTATGAATAGATTTTAATTTATGTATAAAATACCAAAGTTAGACTGTCCTCAGCCCTGAAAATTCATGACCTCACTGCATCTCAGGCACTCCTGTGAAATGGTTACTAATCTTGATAAGTGGGGAAACTGAGGCTCGGACCCCAGAAGTAAGGCGTGGCAAAGTCAGGGCTATAAACCCAGGTCCAGAGGCCTCTGAGTCTGCAAATGAAACCGGACTCTGCATCAGCTGGAGGGAGCTACTCAGGTGCTGGGTCTCCTGAAGATGCCGGGGGCGCTCCCCGAGTCGCCGGGTGCCTCGACGCCCTCATGTTCAGAACTGCTTCCAGCACGGAGGCAGCAGGACTTGAAATCGGCCCCTTTGGTCACAGATTCAACAAACCCCGTTCTGTGCCCAGCCTGTGCCGGGGACAGAGCCTCCTGGGCTCACAGCCCAGAGGGAAACACACCCTCGCAGACAGAATGACCCACAGTGTGGGGGGCAGGAGTGGGGTGAGGAGGGAGACCGGAGCCTCAGGTGTGACGCTGGGGAGACGGTGACCAGGAGGGAACCTTGCAACGCTGTCAAAATTGAAATACGGCCTCAGACAGGTGTGACATCAGTTATGCAGATGGCTTCCTTGTTTCATAAAAGCCTAAGAATGCAATTTGTTTTCATCAAGACAAGAAAGCAAAACCCTGGCCAGGCACTTGGGGGTAACACCTTATTCCTGTCACTCGTGGCCAGGGCTGCCATCATCCCATCCAGTCAGGTGAGGTCTCTGCCCAAACACGGTAGCACCTGTTTCCAAGCACAGCTGACGTCAGCGGGGGCGTGAGGAGGGGGTGCCTGGCCTGACTCTCGAACCACAGCTAGGAAAGGAGTCGGAGGAGAACAGCATTCCAGGGGGGGAGCAGCGTGGCGGAGGCCTGGCAGCCAGAGCATGATGTGGAGGTCGGTGTGACGGATGCAGAACGTGAGGGAGGAACGGAGAGAAGGGCAGAGGACTCTGAGCAGTGTCCTGAGGCACCAGGGAGCCAGGGAAGGCTTATGAGCAGGGGAGTAGATAAGTCACAGCAGCTGCCAACTCAGAGGTAAAATCAGTGAAGGCAGGAAGTGAGAGCCCCCTTCAGTGATGGCGAACCTTCTGAGCTCGGCGTGTCAGCATTTTGAAAAACCCTAACTTAACTCTGGTGCCGTGCCACATATAGACATTTTTTGATATTTGCAACCATAGTAAAACAAAGATTTGTATTTTTTTTTTTTTTTTTTTCCAAGCCAAACTGTATCCAGCTTTATTAAAGATACTTTTCATAAACAATCATGGTATTTCAGGCAGGACATGGGCAGACAATCGTTAACAGTATACAACAACTTCAAACTCCCTTCTTCAAGGAACTACCAAAATCAGAAAGCCACTATAAAACCCAATGAAGTCTTCATCTGATGCTCCGAACAGGGAAAGTTTAGAGTGAGGGTTGACATTTCACATTAAGCATGTTGTTTAACAACTTTTCACAAGCCGACCCTGACTTTCAGGAAATGAAATGAAAATGGCAGAGAATATCAATCTGTAGATCCACAATCTAAAAAGGAACTGCTGCTCTTTTGAGGGATGCCATCTCAATAGTGACACTGGAAAGTCCAGATTGCCCAACATACTGGAAATCATTTTTTTTGGGTCAGGTCCCAATAGGTCTCTGGGCTTAAAAGAGCCAAAGTCTATGCTTAAAGTGGAGAGGGAGAAAAGGACATAAAAACGAATTTTAGTTTTCCCACACGACAAGGTGTTTGTGCCACGATGGCTAATGTGTGTCAACATCAAGAGATCCCTCCTCCCAGGAACCAAGAGGAAGTTTCTCAAAACTAGAAGGGAAAGGTATTTCCCCCCCATGTCAGTCCAGCTTTGGAGATATTCTATTAGTACTATATGTCCTTCCCCCCAAAAATAACAATGAAGTGTTCTGTGTGCTAACAACATAGCTTAAAAAAAAAAAAAAAAAAGTAAAACAAAATTCTGCATTTTTATAAAACTTGATAAAAAATAGTATTTCAAACTGTACAGTCACCAGAAATACACAGTTATCAAAAATGCACACACTTCACTTGGCATCTCCAGCACCTTCAGCTTTCTGTGCCTGGTCTGTTTTGGCATCTCCATTTTCTGCAGGATTATTCCCGTCTTTGCCAGCATCAGCTTTCCCCTTTTTTCCTTTCGGTACCTTCTCTCCCTTCTTTGCAGGGGCCTTTTTAGGCTTGGGCTCTGGCTTTGGAGGAGCGGGTTTAGTTGATAACCTGGCGGATCTTCTCTGTGGTTCGTCCTTCACCTTGGCTTTATCTCCTTTAGCATCCCCTTCAGCCTTTCTCTTGGGCATGATGGCGATGGTGGCGGGACGTCCGAGCGGGACGCGGGGATGCAGCAGCGCGCGGGCCTTGCTCGGTCCGGGGGTCGATCTCGTCTCCTCACACTGCTCAAAGATTTGTATTTTTGATATTTATCTTATATATTTAAATGCCATTTAACAAAGAAAAATCAACCAAAAAACTGAGTTCGCGTGTCACCTCTGACACGCGTGTCATAGGTTCGCCATCACTGCCCTAGATCCTAGGGCCTAGAAACCCCGTGCGGGAACTACTCCCAGCTCTACACTCATGGCCTTGGGGCTGAGGGGCAAGCTTACTGTGCTCAGTTCCTCAGCCTGTGAAACAGACTAGAACAGTGGTTCCCATCGTGGGGCACACGCCCCACACGGGGGCAATTTGATTCTTAAGGGGGGCAATTTGAGGATGAGTTATTAACAGTGAATTTTTTGCGTTTCTTATGGTTCTAGGGGCCTCAGATATAATATATAAGTATATATTGTGACATTTCTGCATTTAAGGTCTCTATTATGTTTGGGGCAATCGGATACTTTACAAAGTATTTGCTATTTTTTTCATATCACTTCATATTATTATTATTATTATTATTATTATTATTATTATTACAATTTCTTGGTGATTTCTTCCTCAGTCCTTCAACTGTCCTTTTGTTCTTTTCTTTTCCTTTTCCATGGATGCCATGTTCTTTGGAAGCTTGTTTAGACCAAGTTACTGGCCTTTTAGGCTTCCTCTATGTGAACAGTTCACTTTCTGAATAATCCTACATAATAAAAGGGTAATATGCAAATTGACCCTAACGGCAGAACGACCACTCAGCCAGTCACTCTGAGGCACACTGACCACCTCTTGGTCCCTTTCCCCGGCTGGCAGGCTCCGATCGCCCAATGGCAAACAGGGAATGGGGGTGGGTGGTGGAGGACTCGGGCGGCGCCAGACCAAGGTCCCCGCTCGCCAGTTGCCCCATACACAGAGGGCGACCCGCGGCGGGGGGCAGGGCCAGCAATCAGGCAGAACGGCCAACCTTTCAGTCCCTCCCCGCGGTGGGCAGGCTCTGATTGCCCAATGGCGAATGAAGAACCGGGGATGAGTGGTGGCAGGGGGTGGGTGATCGCAGGCCAGGCCTAGGGACCATACCCGCACACGAATTTCATGCACCAGGCCTCTAGTAAAAGTTATATGTCAAGGGGAGTCGGGGGAGGGCATCAGGATTTTGGAGATGCGTAGGTCGGGCATGGCCAAAAATGTTGGGAACCACCAGCCTAGAACCAACCCCAGTGGTTGAGAGGCTCAGTGGGGTGATGGTTGGGAGAATGTGGCACAGTCCCTGGCACTGAGCCAGCACCTGGTGTCAGATCACCTGGAGCCGCCCCTGCGACCTGTCACATCCCGTCCAGGGCACAGCGCGGTTGTCTGTGACGATGCTGCCTGCCCCGGGAATCATTATCCCCAGCCTCTATTTCTCATTCACTTTCCCGGAAGCGAGCTGATGTGTCAGCATTTGTGCTATAAGTGGGCATTTCTGATCCTTAAAATGTAACCACTTATTTTATGGCTTTCTATCTTTAAAAGGCATAATTCCAATGCACCCAGTACTTGTAATTGTGGTGGCAAGGAGAATAATAATGATGAAAATTACAGTTCGAACGTCAAGCGTTTATCTGGCAGTCACCTTGTTAGCACACCATTGTAAGCACTTTAGACACATTAGATTTGGGAATTTTTTTTTAATATATATTTTATTGACTTTTCACAGAGAGGAAGGGAGAGAGATAGAAAGTTAGAAACATCAATGAGAGAGAAACATCGATCAGCTGCCTCCTAGGGAATTTTTAATCTTGAAAGACTTGGCCAGTCTGCCCTCTGCATGGGGTTGGACCAGCGTGTGAGAGCTTCCTGTTCCCTCAGTCTCACTGACACAACATCAAACTTTTGGACATTTGCCCGTCTGCTCGGTGCAAAGCATCACCTATTACCTCAGTTTGTTTTCATTTCCATTTATCTTGCTGTGAGGACAGTTGAACATTGTCCCTACGTCAAGAGACATTGGATTTTCTTTTCTAGGAATCGCCTACCCATATCTTTTGTATATTTTCCTGTTAGGTTGTTGATATTTTTCTTATTGATTTCTAGGAGCACTTTACATATTAGTGAACTGAGCTGTTTGTCTGTGATATCAGTTGCCAATGCTTTCCCCTGTCGGTCATTGTTATATTGACTTTGTGGGTGGTGGGTTTGTTGTTGTTTTTTAACTTTTGTAGAAGTTTCTTTTTATTTTTGTCAAACTTTTCAGTCTTTGTTGTTGTTGTTAATCCTCACTCAAGGATATTTTTCCATTGATTTTTAGAGAGTGGAAGGGAGAGGGAGAGACATAGAAAAACATTGATGTGAGAAAGACACATTGATTGGTTGCCTCCTGCATTCCGGTCAAGGTATGTGCCCTTGACCAGACTCGAACCCGGGACCCTTCAGTCTGTGGGCTGATGCTCTATCCCCTGAGCCAAACTGGCCAGGACAAACTTTCCAGTCTTTTATGGAAGGAGCTTGTGTTCTTACTGCAACAGTCACCATTCCAGTGAGAGGTAACAGGTGGGCTGGGCCAGAGCAGAGGGTCTGGAGCCAGACTCCCAGGGCTCAGCCTCAAGCTCTAAGCAACGCGGACATTTAACGAGAGGCAGTGAGAGAAACTGAGAGCGGGGGACTCACCCCACAATGGACTTTAGTGGTGGAGAATTTCGACTCCGTAGGTGCTGCCTACCACCTATAACACCCTGGAAAGATGTCTTACATTCTCTGCATCTTTGTTTCCTCACCTCAAGTAGGGGTGGAATAGTTGGATCAGTAAAGGCGGAGGCAAGAAGGAGAAGGTGAACTCAAAGGGGGTAATGAGCAGGGTTTGGTCAAGGGACACTTTGCAGAGGTGAAGGCAGGGGATTGGTGAAGCGACATGGGGCTGTGCAGTACCCAGGGGCTGGCAACAGTGGAAGCAGTTACTCCCCGCGCCCCGCCTCCCCAGGCTAGAAGTTGCCAGAGGCAGAGATAGATGGCCACCCAATAGGAGCTTTGGTAGAGGGACACAGCCCACCTGTGCTGATGGAGCAGGGAGAGAGCTGTGGGACCATAACCACAAGGTCACTCCCACGGTCAGAAGCAAAGGGCACGGGGGACACCAACAAGGGAGCTCAGAGAGGCCAGCCTTTCGGGACACAGCAGAGCAGAGGTTAGAGAGTGCAGCCGACCGCCCAGTGGAAGGTGTGCTTTGTGGGGTCGATGTATAAGGAAGACGTGAGCTAACACATGTTCGGTGCTTAGAACGGTGTCTGGCTGACAGGAGGTTCTCAGTGAACGTTCCCTTCCATTCCTACAATATTTTCACCATGATCACTGTTGTCCACGTCAGCGCTCCCTGTGCCGACTCATTCTCCCCGGCGCGGGGAGGGCCGCTTGGGGCAGCACCTCACCTTGGGTCCCACTTGCTCCCCTCTTCTCTCCTCTCCTCCCCACCCCTCCAGGCACCCTGCTCGCATCCTGCATCTGCCCTGCCTCCTCGGAGCTGCCCTCCTCTGCGCCTCCAGACATCTTGGCAGAAGGAGCCAGTGCTCACCTTCCCGTCCCCAGGAACCTCGATGGCATTCTCTCCACTTCTTGGTTCCGAGGGCACGGGGCCCAGCAAGAAGCCACGGTCTTCTCCCCCGAGGGCCGCCCGGGGCCCGGCCACACTGACGCGGGCAGCGACACTGTGATGCTGGACACCAGCAGGGGACGCAGGAGTGTGACAGAGCAGACACATGTCAAGGGTGAGTGGGGCCCCAGAGCTGGGCCCATCGGCACCCCTTCTGTGCCAGCAGTCACTTGCTCCCTAACAACCCCCCTCCAACAAAACCTTAAAATGGTAACCATTTCTCTAGCTCATGATTCCTCTGGACAGCCCTGGCCTCGCTCATGGGTCAGCCAGGGAGTGCCAGGGCCCTGACGGGTCAGGGTGGCCTCTTTCATAGGCCTGGCAGTGGCCTGGTGGCAGCTGGGGCAGCTGGGGCAGCTGGGGCAGCAGTGATAAATGGGCCTGGTGGCCTCTCAGCCTCCAGCGGGCTGGCCTGGACTTGTTCTCTCGGCAATGGAACGACAACAGGGGCAGTGGTGAGGCCCTGGCATGCTATCACTTCCACCATCTTTGATTGGCCACAGCAAGTCACACGACTGGCCCAGCCTCCTTGGTTGGGGGACGGGATGAGGGGGGGGGGGTAGAGAATAGGCTTCACCACTTGAAGAAAGGAGTTGCAGTGTTGTGACCACTTTTTGTCCTCGGTCACACTTTCCAACTGAGAGTCATTAAGTAGTTGCTCCTCATCGCTTAGGGAAGGGCAGATGTCTCCGGTGGCGGCCTTCAAACTCACCTCTGTCCTTACGAGCTATGCAGCTCTGCACTTGGACTTTTATACCTGAACCAGAAAAAGAAAGCCCTGCAGCTAAGCCAGACCCCTGCTCTAGAGAAGGTTCGGAGACGGTTAGCCTGCTAGGGCTGCCGTAACAAAACACAACAGGCCGTGCGGCCTCAGCAACAGACCGTTACTTCTCCCAGTGCTGGAAGATGGACGTCCAAGACCAGGGGGTCGGCGGGTTCGGTTTCCTTTCAGGCCTCTCTCTTTGGCTTGCAGACGGACCCCTTCTTGCTATGTCCTCGCATGGCCTCTCCTCTGTGGGCACACCACCCGTGTCTTCCTGTGGGTCCTGTAGGGACAGCGGTCAGATTGTATCAGAGTCCACCCTAACAGCATCGTTCTCACTTAATTATTTCTTTGAAGCTGTGTTCATCCCCTCGGAGCAGTGATATGGAGTTGGGGGGCTCTGGGTGGGACCCCATTGCTATCCATGATTTTGACAAACCATCAGCACCTGCCCTACACCTGGCCTGTGCTGGGCAGGATGGGGACACAGCGGTGGCGGAGGGGGCCCTCCTCTCCTGCACAGCCTGAGCTGTGTGGCTGAGGACCGATGCCACTTCACCCTCACACACCAGAGCCGTGCAGCCCTCCTTCACCCGGCCATAGCTTCATCTGCTTGGGCCCGATAAGCTCTGCTGGCCTACCGTGACGACTCCCCGAGGCTCTGTTGGACCACAGAGCTGTGCGAGCACCCAGCAGGTGGCAGCTAGACCCAGCACTGGCACCGAGTCTGAACCTGTGTCCATCTGGTGAACACCACTCGCCCCTACCTGGCGACGGACGGAGACCCTACCTCATGCAACTCGAGTGCTGCCAGAGGATCTTTCATTGCCTGAGCCTAACAGGCAGCAGGCAGGTGGAGTTTGGTGGAGGCAGGCCAAGGTGAATATCAGGGTGACTTGGGACATTTGCTGACCTGCCCCCAGACCTGGGGCTGGTCAAAGCAGCCTTGGTGCTCAGCGTGGTCCTTCTATGCACACCCGGGCTTGGCAGGGGCAGCCACAAACTGGATCGCTCTGTAGCTACAAACGGATTGCTCAGGGCCAATCACAGGCAGCATTTGAATTGGCCTGCACCCGAGTCCCTCCCAACAGGCCCCAGTGGCCAGCTTCAGACAACAATAGAGCGAGATCCCACTAGTTTCACAAGTGGCACATCCAAAGGAAGATCTTGGCAGGCACCAGACATGCTGAGGCAAATTCTGCTTTGTGTGGTTGGCAGCTGCTCAGCAGCTCAGACACTGTGGCCAGGGCTGACTCCCACAGTCAGCCAGCTTGAAGGTTGATCCCACACGCAGATGGGCCTGAAGCAATCAGGACTCAGTTACAACAGGAGGGCCCTCAAAACCCATACAAGGGACATTCCTGGAGCACCCAGCTCAGGTGATAAGGTGACGGCACCACTGAACCCCACAGGGTACCTATTACATAAGGCCACCCTGCCAAGACTGGGAGTCATAATGCATAAAACAAACACAAAGAGGCAACCAAAATGGAGAGACGAAGAAACATGCCCCAAATGAAGAACAGAAGAAGTCTCCAGAAAAAAGTTAAATTAAATGGAGGCAAGCAATTTATTAGATATAGAGTTCAAGAAATGGTTATACGGATGCTCACATGGACATAAAACCCATAAAAAAGAACCAGTCAGAAACGAAGAACACAATATCTGAAATGAAGAATGCACTGGAAGGAACCACCAGTAGATTCAATGGAGCTGAAGATGGAATCACCGATTTGGAAGACAAGGTAGCAGAAAACTACCTTGGGGAAAAAAAAAAAGAGCAGGGATAAAAAAGAATTTTTAAAAATGAGCATAGTGTAAGGGACCTTTGGGACAACATGAAGTGTAACAACATCCACATTATAGTGGTTCCAGAAGCAGAAGAGAGAGAGCAAGGCATCAAGAACATATTTGATGAAATAATGAAAACTTTCCTAACCTATTGAAGGCAGAAGACACACAAGTCCAGGAAGCGCAGAGTCCCAAACACATCATAATTTAAATGGCAAAGGTTAAAAACAAAGAGAATATTAAGAGCAGCAGGAGAACACAGTTAGTTACCTACAAGGGAGCTCCCATAAGACTGTCAGACGGTTTCTCAACAGAAACATTTCAAGCCAGAAGGAATGAGTATAACATATTCAAAGTGATGAAAAGCAAGTTCCCACAGCCAAGACTACTTTACCCAGCATGGCTATCACTTAAAATTGATAGCCACACAATTTCTATCAAAGTACCAATGGTGTATTTCAAACAACTAGAACAAATATCCCAAAAATTTATCTTGAACCACAAAACAACCTAAGTAGCCATAGCAATCTTGAGAAAAAAGAACAAAGAGTGAGGAATCACACTACCTAATATCAAACTATACCTCAAGACCACAGTAATCAAAACAGCATGGCACTGGCATAAGAACAGGGATATAGATCAATGGAACAGAATAGAGAGCCTGGAAATAAACCCATTAATATAATTAATATTTGACAAGGAGGCAAGAACATACAATGGGGTAAAGATAGTCTATTCAATAAATGGTGTTGGGGAAAATGGACAGATACGTAAAAAAAAAAAAAAATGAAACTAGACCAAGTTCTTACATATACACAAGAATAAACTCAAAATAGTTTAAAGACTTAAACGTTAGACTCGAAACCATAACAATCCTAAAAGAAAGTATAGGCAGCCCTAACCGGTTTGGCTCAGTGGATAGAGCGTCAGCCTGTGGACTGGAAGGTCCCAGGTTCGATTCCGGTCAAGGGCATGTACCTGGGTTGTGGGCACATCCCCAGCAGGGGGTGTGCAGGAGGCAGCTGATCGATGTTTCCCTCTCATCGATGTTTCTAACTCTCTATCCCTCTCCCTTCCTCTCTGTAAAAAATCAATACAATATATTAAAAAAAGAAAAGAAAGTACAGGCAGTAAAATCTCAGACATTTCTTGTAGCAATATTTTTTCTGATATATCTCCATGGGCAAGGGAAACAAAAGAAAAAATAAATGGGAATACATTCAACTAAAAAAGTTGCACAGCAAAGGAAACCATCAACGAAATGAAAACCCACTGAAGGGGAGAACATATCCTCTAAAGATACATCTGGTAAGGGGTTAATATCCAAAATTTATAGAGAACTTATAAAACTCTACACCAGCCCTCGCTGGTAAGGCTCAGTTGGTGGGCCATCGTTCTGTACTCTGAAAGGTTGCTGGTTCGATTCCCAGTCAGAGTCCGTGCCCGGGTTATGGGTTCAATCCCCTATTGGGGACATGCAAGAGGCTGCTTATCATGTTTCACTCTCATATCGATGTTTTTCTCTGACTCCCTTCCTCTCTCTATATAAAAAATCTTTAAAAAAACAACACCACCCCTAACCAGTTTGGCTCAGTGGTTAGAGCGTTGGCCTGTGGACTGAAGGGTCTCAGGTTCGATTCCAGTCAAGGGTACCTCAGTTGCAGGCTCAATTCCCCGACCCCCCTTGGGGTGCATGCGGGAGGCAACCAATCAATGTGCCTCTCTTACATCGATGTTTCTCTCTCTCTGTCTCTCCCCCTCCCTTCCACTCTCTAAAAATCAATGGAAAAATATCCTCAGATGAGGGTTAACAACAACAACAAACCACACACAAAAAAAGAAAACAAAATAAAAATTAAAAGACAAAAACAAACAATCCAATTTAAAAATGAGCATAAGACCTGAATAGACACTTCTCCAGAGAGGACAAACAGATGGCCAGTAGGCATATGAAAAGATGTTCAACATCACTAGTCACTAGAGAAATGCAAATTAAAGTCACAATGAGCTCTTACCTCACACCTGTCAGAATGGCTATCCTATATAATAAGAGCCTAATGTGCAAATTGTCCCCTTGGGTGGTCATTCAACCAGAGACCGGGAGTTCGACCACTCGCTATGACGTGCGCTGACCACCAGGGGGCTGCACGGAACATGGTGGGCATCGGTGACACTCTTGCTGGGTACCAGGGGGCAGGGGTGATGGGGACGGAGGTGCAGTAAGAATGCGGGGTGTCCACCAAGCTCACTCTCACTCCCCTGCTACTCTCCCCTAGGACACCAGGGCTCACCGGAGCACCCTCCTCCCCCACCCCTGCACTCAGGTGCCGGGCGACTGCAAGGAGCCCACCCAGCACCTGCGCAGCCTCTTCCGGGTGAGCCAGGACCTCAGGGGCTGGTCAGGCTCCCCGTGGGTTCGTGCGGGAGCTGGTCTGCGAGGCCGGCTGGGAGAGAATGCGCTGCCCGCCCAGCTTCTGTGTGACGCCACTGGGCAGCCTAGAGACCCAGCTGCGCCCTGGCCTGCGGCATCCAGCTCACCGCATCTCCACATGGGGACTCTGGAACCATGACGCAGGCAGAGGGGAGCACGTGGGGGCCCAGGGGCCCAGGTGCTGCCCAGGACCCAGGGGTCAGCTGGGATCTGCTCTTCCACACCAAACGCTCACACTTCGATCGCTGGCCAGGCCTAGGGACCGCACCCGTGTACAGATTTCGTGCACCGGGCCTCTAATTATAAATAAATCGACAAACAAGTATTGGCAAAGATGTAGAGAAAAGGAAAACCTCATGCAATGTTGGTGAGAATGAAGATTGGTGGAGGCACTATGGAAAGCCGTATGGGGTTACCTCAGAACACTAACAATGGAACTGCCTTATGGCCCAGTGACTCCACTTCTGGGAATGTATCTGAAGAAACCCTAAATGCTGATTTGAAAGGCTATGTGCACCCCTTTGTTCACTGCAGCATTATTTACGATAGTCAAGATTTAGAAGCCGCCAGTGTCCATCAATAGAGGAATGGATAAAAACAAAAGCTGTGGCAGCCCTGGCTGGTGGCTCAGCTGGTTGGAGCATCATCCCGTACACCAAAAGTTGCGGGTTTGATTCCCAGTCAGGGCACATACACAGGTTTCAAGTTCTGTCCCCATTCAGGGCGCGTACAGGAGGCCACTGACCAATGTTTCACTCTCACACTGATTCATATTCTCTCTCTCTCTCTCTCTCTCTCTCTCTCCCCTCCCAACCCCCCATCCTCTCTCTGAACATATCCTCAGGTGAGGATTTTAAAAAGTTAGTAAATCATGACTCACAGTAAGAAATGCATTTCAAATATGACCCAGTGTGTTCATATACACACACCACAAGTAACTCAAAGACAAGCGTCATAAAGTAGCCGTCATTGCTATGAGCAATGCATTCTGCCATTTCGCACTGTGTTTCATTTTGAGTTTTAAATGCTGATTGCAGCCTACTGAATGGTCCCCCCCGGCCCGGGTCTCCCTACAGTAACACCCTGGGAGTTAGCAAGTGTGTAGAATGGTGTTGGCTCATGTAAGAACCCGGTCTAGGCATCTGTGACATCGGTTCTTGTTTCTGCACCTGGTGGGCTCCCCGCCTCCGGCGAGGCTTAGCGCGGGCACCGCGGCTCCAGGCGGCTCCTGTGAGCTCTCCGCTGGGCTACAGTAGCTTTTCACTTGCCCTGAAATCTGAAATGAGCTGCTTGTGGAGATTGCCAGCATTCACCATGGCATCGCGCTCCCCAGGTTCAAATCCCAGCTGTGTCCTCCTGGCCCTTAGACCTGACCCTAAGACACCCAAACCTCACAGTCTTTCAGCTATAAAATAAAATAAAATAAAATAAAATAAAATAAAATAAAATAAAATAAAATAAAATAAAATAAAATAAAATAAAATAAGTAAAATAAAATAAATAAATTAATTAATTAATTAAAATGATAAATAAAATAATAAATAAATAAAATAAGTAAAATAAATAAATTAAAATGATAAATAAAATAATAAATAAATAAAATAAGTAAAATAAATAAATTAAATAAATAAATAAAATAATAAATAAGTAAAATAAATAAGTAAATACAATATAAATAAGATAATAAAATAAAATAATAAATAAATAAAATAAAATAAATAATAAGAGAAAATAAAATAAAATGGGAGTTGGACGAGGGGGAGAATTGTGGGTGTCCCATCTGTAAAGAGCATCCCCCAGGAGCCGGTAGCTCAAGCCCCAAGCCTCGGAGGCCCCTTGATCCTCTCTTTCTCCCCCACCCACATCCAGTCCATCAGCAAATCCTGGGGCTCTGCCTTCAAAACAACCCAGACTGCAAGCCCTCCTCCCAGCTCCTCGCCTCGCCCTGGTCCAGCTGGGGCGGTGGGGCTGGGATACTTCTATAACTCCCACGTCGGCCACTGCGGAGGCCCACTCCCGGTGTACCCGTTCCCCAACAGGCTGACCTGCTGCCTCGATGGGAAGTATGGGCTCTGGCTGCCAGCAAAAGCCCTCAGGGCACAGAAGCTGGACGTGGGATGATTGGGAGCTGTGGCGGGGGCACCAACAGGTCCACTGTGCCCAATGCCTGGAGCAGTGCAGGGCATGGACCAGGCACTCCACGTCCATTTGTTCGTGAATGAATGAATGAATGAATGCCTCTGTGGTGGGCAGGAGAAGGGCTCAGTCTCTCCAAGTCCTCTCCGCCCACATGGCCTTACTCCCTGTTCACACAGCCCACCAGATGCTGCTACACACCTTCCCGGAGACTTTGCGGGGCGTCGTCCAGAGTGAACTCAACTACTCGGTGATCCTGAGCTGTCTGACTACACTCAGGCCCACACCCGTGATTTACTGGACCTTCAACGGGCAGCCCCGAGGGACAGGGGAGAAGCTGATCATCCGGCGGCTGTCCAGGGCGGACTTGGGTACCTATGTGTGCGTGGCCAAGAACAGCCAGGAACAGCACTCCTCCGAGCTGGTGAAAGTCTCCCTGTCCGGTAAGTCCCCCAGCCCTACCCCAAACCCCTGCACCCTCGCTGGTCGGTGGCCAGTTTTCCTGGTTCCCCTGAACCCCCTTCAGTGAGCAGTCTCCTCTGAGACGCTCTGTAGCCAAGTTGTCATCACATGCACATGGCCGATTGGGCATGATTAGCCCATTTTACAGATGACAGGCTGTGGAAGCTCAGCTCATGATCTGGAGCCAGCTGCCTGGGTCCCGGCTCCCACTGCTTGCCGGGTATGACTTCTGGAGCCCCTTCGCCTCTCTGAGCCTCAGCATGTGCCAGCGGGAAAGTGCAGGTGCTCATGTAACACGTGGTTCTGAGCATGGGCATGGAGTTTGAATTCTGCCTCCACTTCCTGGCCATGGGACTTTAGACCAGCTCTGTGCCTCAGTTTCCCCACCTGTAAAAGCAGAAAAATAAGAGTGCCCACCCAAAGTATAGTTGTGAGCATTCAATGAGATAAGCAGGTGAACAGCTTAAAATAACAGTGCCTCATACTACTGAACACTAGTGAGTATTCGATGCACACTAGATAGTATCGTTGCTACAATTAGCATTATCAATATTATTAACTAGAGGCCCAGGTGGCACTGAGGCTGTCCAGGTGGCAGAGCCCTTGAAGGCCATGCTTCCTCCCCAGGTGCTGGGGAGTCACGGCGAGCTTTTGAGCAGAGGAGGTACGGGGTCAAGTTTGACCTTCAGAGGGGACACTGACTTCCGCATGGTGGGGCGATGGGTGGGGAGAGACTGGGGCAGGAGAGCAAGGAGGAGGCCTGGGCAGAGGCCTAGAGGATGGGGAGGAAGGGAGGGATGGAAGCGACACTGAGGAGCTGGGATGGTGGGAGTGGGGGTTGTGGAGGGAGGGCGGTTGCTCCAGTCTCACCCATTCTCGGTTTCCAGAAGTCGACATGGATTCCACAGACGAGCCCATCGATCTGGACCCCATTCTCACGGTGTCAGGAGGATCTGCCATCGCCCTCCTCCTGGCCGGAAGTGCCGGGTTGGTGGTCGTGATGGTAGGAATTGGCTCCGCCATCGCCCAGACCCAAAGGTACTGTCTGTCCCTGACCCGTGTGCCTGGACTGACCTCCCCACTCAGCAGCAAAACAAAACAAAACGCCTCGTCCCAAAGAGCTTTAGGCTCATTCAGAGAGGACGGCATTGACCCCTGATGTGGCCATCTGCCTCCTCAGTTCCCACAGTGACCACAGGAGTCAGAAGAGGGTTTTTAAATATATATATTTTTTATTGATTTTTTACAGAGAGGAAGGGAGAGAGAGAGAGAGCTAGAAACATTGATGAGAGAGAAACATCGATCAGCTGCCTCCTGTACATCTCTTACTGGGGATATGCCCGCAACCCAGGTACATGCCCTTGACCGGAATCGAACCTGGGACCTTTCATCCGCAGACCAACGCTCTATCCACTGAGCCAAACCGGTTTTGGCAGAAGAGGATTTTAATGCTGGTCTGTCTGGTGCAAATTCCAGTTCCATTACTTACCCGCAGGGAAGCCATGGGCAAGTCACTTCCCTTTTTTGTGCCTCAGTTTGCCTATTTGCAAAATGGGGATGATAATCATAACACCTGCCTCACAGGACTGTTGTGAGGATTAAACAAGCTAATATTTCTAAAGTGTTTAAAACAGTGTCTGGGATACAGTAAGCATCGTATTCATTCCTTCTGCACATACCTATGAGCCAGGCGCTGGGGATACTGTGGGAATGAATGGTGCAAAGTCCCTGCCCTCATGCACTTTCATCCTAGGCAGGTACCAACAATTATGTGGTGACCCAGTGAACTATAGGCCGTATGTTGAGGGAGGATGAGTGCTAAGGAGAGGAATAAGGCCGGAAGGGGGACAGGGAGTGTGGGGATGAGGAGCAATTGAGCTAAGTCAGTCAAGACCTCCCCGAGAGAGTAACATTTCAGCAAAGACATTGGGCAAAGGAAAGGAGGGAGGGAGCCCGTGTGTATGTGGGGAAAGGGCACACCGGGCAGAGGGAACAGCAAGTACAAAGGCCCTGAGGTGGGACTTGCCCGGCATGTTAAAAAAAAATTGCAAGGAGGCCAGTGTGGCTGGAGTGGCGTGAGGAATGGGAAAAGAGGCAAGACCTGAGATCAGAGAGGGAAAGGGTGGGGCACCAAACAGTGGAAGGTGTGCGGATCATGTCAGTGCTTGGCTTTTGTTCTGAGTGAGATGGGGGTCATGTGGGTTTAGAGCCGAGGAGGGAATGGATGGATGGATAGATGGATGGATGGATGGATGAATGAATGAGTGACTGCCTCCGTGGTGGGCAGAAGTGCTCAGTCGTTCTGACTTACATTTTAATCCTAGCTGTGTCAGCTATTATCATACTATCATAACTTTCCCTGTATTGAATGCCTATTACATGCTTGCTAAACTTTATTCTTTTTTAAATATATTTTTATTGATTTCAGAGAGGAAAGGAGTGGAAGAGAGAGAGATAGAAACATCAATGATGAGAGAGAATCATTGATCGACTGCCTCCTTCACGCCCCCTACTGGAGATTGAGCCTGCAACCCAGTCATATGCACTTGACCAGAATCGAACCTGGGACCCTTCAGTCCGCAGGCTGACGCTCTGTCCACTGAGCCAAACCAGCTAGGGCAACATTATTCTTTGTAATCCCACAAGAGAGGGTATCAGGGTGGGGTGGCGATGAAGATCTCAGTTTTGTCAGAGAGGAAACGAAGGCCCAGGAAGAAGTGCCTGGCCCCAGACCCCATAGCTGGAGAGAAGGGATTCCAACTCAAAACCCTGCCTCACTCCCAGTTCCAGCCTCTAACCCACGCCGCCTCTTTTTTCACCATTAACAATGCACACCTTCGTACCTTATGGACCGAGCAAGAGAAATCTGCAAGTTGAAATGGTTTGACAAGGCCTTACCCAGATCCCTGGTCTGTGAGTTCCATGGGGAGCCTTCTGGAGGCAGGGAGGGCCAGGCTGCTGCCTGAGTCACCCACATCATCTTCACTGTGGCATTTCCTGGGTCCTCACCATGAGCCAAGATCTCTGAGTCACAAGAACTCTCAGGGGCGGGTTCTGTTCTTGTCCTCATTTTCTGACAACTGGCTGACCCTGAACCAGACCCAGCTCCAATTCCAAAGCCAAGTTCTTAGGAAGGAAGGGTGAGAAGTCCGGCTAGCATAACCCTACTCGCCCAGACCACCCGATTTCCTGTCTCCGTGAGTGGGTTGGAGGTGTCACTTCTGGTCCTTCCCACCATCTTGGCCAAGACCCATTTACTAATAGTTTCAGACAACAGATCAATTCTGGTGTCCACCAGAAGGAACCAGCCTGGGTGAATCAGCGGTGACCTTGGAGATGAGGTCATGGGAACAGGCATGACTGGACGCTGCCATTGGGGAGGGGTGGCAGCCCCACACACATCGACCACACCCACCAAGGGCCAGCAGAGATCCCTGTTGTTTGCCGTTAAGGCCATGGACCCCAAATGAGGCTGCCTAGGTTCATCCCAGCTCTGCCAAATGCTAGCTTCTGTGTGGCTTTCGGTGAGTCCTTTAATGCTCTGTGCCCCGTCTGCAAAACAGGGATGACGGTAATACTTACCTCAAAGTGTGGGTGTGCGAGCAGCTAAGACAATGGGAGGAAAGAGCTGTAAAGAGGGCCTGGCAGCCCTGACCGGTTTGGCTCAGTGGATAGAGCGTTGGCCTACAGACTCAAAGGTCCCAGGTTCAATTCCAGCCAAGGGCATGTACTTTGATTGCGGGCACATCCCCAGTAGGGGATGTTTCTGATCGATGTTTCTCTCTCATCGATGTTTCTAACTCTCTATCCCTTTCCCTTCCTCTCTGTAAAAAAATCAATAAAACATATTTTTAAAAAAAGAGTGCCTGGGATGTGGTCAGCCTTCAGTAAGTGTATTGTTATGGTGACTGTGATTATAATTTCTCTTTATTTCATTGCAGGACTAACAGGCGAAGAATACGAAGATGCTGCTGAAGTGTGAGTGTCTGCCTGTCAGCCTGGGAGCTGACGCCACGAAGGGCGGGAAGAGAACCCTATGTTCAGGGATGAGATGAAGTTCCTGGGGCTCCAAAGGCGATCTCCTCCCTCCTGGCTTCCTGATCACTTGTTTGTGGGATGTTCCCCTTTTGTTGAGAGCCCTGGGGACTGATTGTACAAGACACCCCATCTGCCCATCTCACCAAACTCCTGGAGACCACCTCCACAAGCAGTGTGTATTTCATAAAACTCATGGGATGCCAGCAAAAGAAACGCACTGTAGTGGCTCAATAAAAAATACAAGGAGCTCTAACCGGTGTGGCTCAGTGGATAGAGCGTCAGCCTCCGGACTGAAGGGTCCCAGGTTCGATTCTGGTCAAGGGCATGTACCTTGGTTTGTGGGCACATCCCCAGTAGGGGGTGTGCAGGAGGCACCTGATCAATGTTTCTCTCTCATCGATGTTTCTAACTCTCTATCCCTCTCCCTTCCTTTCTGTAAAAAATCAATAAAAAATATATTTTTAAAAAAAAATACAAAGAAAGCTTTGATATTAGGATCCAAGAAGATTTTCAGGAATCTGAGCATGTATCAGGTAGCACTTGCTGTGTAACAAACTATACCTTCCCATACTTAAGCCTTGAAACCACAGCCATTTATCTAGCTTCCAATTCTGTGGGTTATCAATTTGAGCTGAGGTTAGCTGGGTCATTCTTCCAGTCTCTGTTGGGCTCACTCATGCATCATGGTCAGTTGGCAGACTGCCTAAGGGGTGCCTGGCATAGGATAACCTCACCTGGAAACACCAGCCTCTCTCTGCATCATCTCTCATACCCCAGCAGGCCGACCCAAGCTTGTTCACATGACAGAGGCAGGATTCCAAGAGCGAGAGCAGAAGGGACAATGCGTGTTAGGGCCAAGGTTCCCTAACATCACCACTTCCGCCACATTCTATTGGCCAGAGCAAGTCACGTGACCAGCCCCGATTCGAGAGGTGGGGAAATGGACTCCACCTGTTATGGGAGGGGAAGAACCCGGTGGCCATCCATGCTTGGACCAGGGCAATTGCTCGCTGCCTCTCTCTGCTGCCCACCCCTCCCTTTGCAATCCTCTCCTCCAGGAACATGGATTCACAGTTCTCTCTCTGTCTCTTTCTACAGACGGCTGCTCAGTGCTTCTCCCTCCATGAGGAGAAAGACACCATCCCACAGCTTCTACGTCTATAACAGCGCTGTTTCAGGGAACAGCCCAGCTTAGCCCAAACCCCTTTGCCTTGTTTCTGAAACAGTGGGAAAGGCATCTGATTGGCTCACTTGGGTCAGGTGTTAACCTTGGTCCCACCACTGTGGCTGGGGAGGGGGCAGGTACAACCAAAGCCTTGGGAGCTCAGCGCTACCTGTGGGGGCTCAGGACTCAGAAAATGGGGGAGTGTGACCTTGCTGGGCAGATATCCCAAACTGTGTCTGCTACAGAAGAAGAAAACTTCCCAATGCAGGGAAGTGGGGCGGTGTTCACACCCCCAGAAATCGCACTGGCTTGACCACTGGCTTCTGAGCTGCTGGAGAATCCTGGCAGATGGCAGGCAAGGGGGAAACTCCCATGTGGAAATACCTGACATTTGAGGAACATTCAACAGAAAGCCACTGACCATGTCATTATGATTAATAATAGCAGTAGCAGACCCGAACAGACGTCAGTGTGCCAGCCCCCACACTCTGTACCTCCTGCGAGTCCTATCTTATATCATCCACCCAGGTAGCTGGTCTCCGCGGCAGTCTGCCTGAAATTTGTTTCTAATCACCCCACTCCCCTGTTGCTCCCTCCCTGAGGCCAGAACCCCTAACCCATCTCTCTGAGGTCCCGCCACCTCTTATGCCAGATACATATCACTGTGTGCATGCACAGAGGGTGAAAGTGAGGCTCAGAGGGGGCAAGTGACTTGCCTGAGGTCACACAGCTACACGTGATGCCAACTCAAGTGCGCCCAAAGCCCGTATCACAGACCAGCGCTGTCCAATAGGATTCAATGCAGTTATGGATAAGTATATATCTGCACTGTCCAATACCTGTGGCTACTGAGCTCTGTAAATGTGGCTAGATTCACTGAGGAGGTGAATTTTAGGTTTTATTTCCCTTCCATTAATTTGAGTTTTAATTTATAATACCACCTGGGGCGGTGGGCTGTGGAATCAGAAGGTGCAATGCTGACTCCTTATTGTCTAAAAATAAATAAATCACCCTGCAGCCCTACGCACAGACCCCTGGCTGTGTGGCTATTCCGGGTCCTGGCCCTGTTCTGTCCAAAGATCCAGCTGTGATCGGGAGCCCCTGATATCTAACCAGCACCTTCCCTATCTGAGGCGTCCTTCCGACCCCTTCCCTCCTCCCGCTTACCTCGCTGTTGGGGAAGAAATACTTTCCCGCCTGGGTGGGCCCTCAGGGAGCTGCTCCCAGGCTGGCTGTGTGTCCGAGGTGGCCCTGGAGCCAGCAGCCGCCGACCCCTGGCCCAGGACGCAGCAGGACCCCATGCCCTCGGGAGCAGCTGAGCACCACTAGCTTCCTCCCCTCCAGAAAGAAACTGGGCAGAGTTCCTCCCAGAAGCCTGCTGACCACTTCTCACCCAGTCCCGTGGCTCAGCTCTCTCCTAGCACTTTCTGCTTGACATCGCTCTCGCTCATCGCATGGTGCCGTTAAGCACTTATGGGTGTAATGATTGAACAATGGTCTCACCCATGAGGCTGTCAGCTCCATACCTGCAGGACCCATGTGTGTCATACGATGTGTGCTCGGTACATGTTTGTTGATTCCAGGCTCAGGCCGGGAGTGCCCCCCCCCCCCACACACACACCCACAGCTGGAGCACCTGGGGCCGGAGGCAGAGGCACCAGCTCCAGAGAAAACTCTGTACCACCTCAGGAGCTGGTGCCGGCCCCAAGGCGACTGCCCGCCAAAGCCCAGAGCCAGTAGATGCTGCAGCCATGGCTCTCTCTCAAGCCCCAGAGCCAGGGCCAGAGCAGGCTCAGGCCGCAGCTCTCATTCCAACTCGGGAGCCAGAAGGAGTCCCCGCACCGGCGTCAGCTTCGCAGCCAGAGCAGGCCAAGCAGCTGCTCTCATCCAAGTTCAAGAGCTAGAACAGCCCCCTGTGCAGGCCACACTCCAGATCCACACGAGGTTCAAACAGTGGCTCTCATCATCCCGAGTAAGAGTCTCCGTGCCTCAGTTTCCCCGCATGTGGCCTGGATATTGCTCCGAGGATGCATACAGGCTGACCTTTATTTTTCACTTCTTGTGGGAAACCGCCTACTGTCTTCACTAGCAGAGAGGTGTGGACAAGGAACCCGGAAGGCTGGTGATCCTTGAAGCCCTGGCAAAAGTCAGGGCTGTGCACCCACTGTTAGTCCAGACAATGGTAGCTGAAGCAACTTCCCCATTTATTATTATGTAAACCCTTGCTGATGGGCTAGTCTGCCTGTTACTGGAAATGGCCTGCCTAAGGGCCACGGGTGGATCCCAAACCAATAAAAGGTTGGCGAGGCCTGAGCATCAGTGGAAGTCCTTCCTCTGGAGTTGGACTTACCCGCCTGGCCCCTCAATATTCCCAAATTATCTCGTCTCTTCTCTTTCATTTGTGTGCGGCTCCTCTTCCAGATCCTGAACTCTGAACCACGCAGGACGTGGAGGGAAACATTTACAACAGCTTCTGAGCCAGGAACCGTTCCAGGCTGTGCCAGTGACTCACGAAGGGCCAAGTGCTTGGATCAGGGCCTAGCACCCGGCACCTGGCACCCGGCACCCAAGCCAAGCAGCTCTGGTCACTTCCGCAAACCTGGGGCTTGGGTCTTACGGTTTAGGATGAGGGTGAAGCAAAACCTGTGAGTCAAGGTAAAGAGGAATCTTCGGCGAATACCCAGGAACGCCGGGGAAGGGACAGACAGGAGCCGGGTTTGGGAAGAACAGAACGATGGTTCCCAGACAGACCCTGAGTGAACGCCCAGTTCTGTCACTTACAACCTCAAGCCAGGCACTTCCCCTCGTAACCTCCAGGCAGAGCTCAGCTCTCCTCGCGCCTGCAAAGCCCTCCGCAACCCCCGCCCCCCACACACTCAGGCCCCCGTGGGTCCTCACTGTCGGGGAGGAGTCAGTCTTCCATTGGCTGTCCAACCCAGGAAGCAGGGCGGGGCTGTCTGGGCCATCCTGGGTCCCCAACATTGCCCGTCCCAGAGCAGGTATGCATTCAGTCCCCAATAATAGCCAGTCTGTTGAGCATTTACTATGTGTCAGGTACCACGCTCAGAGCGTCACGTGCCTATTCTCATCGCCTGTGGTCCTGTCATCTCCACTTGACAGAGAAGGAAACTGAGGCACAGACTTGCCCGAGGCCACCCAGCTGCTCAGGGCCAGGGCTGAGATGTGAACCTGCCTGCCCTGTACCCGCGATTAGTCACCTTTCTCTGTGGCCGAGACGTCAGTTAAATGACGGCAGGTGAGGAGTGACCTGTCCCTTTTGCCCCTCTCCCCAGCCAAGCCCCAGAGCAAGGCTGAGACCCAGGAGGCCCCACCCAGCCGGCCAGGCCGGGAGCCTGCGCCTGAGGCCCCCCGCGTCTCCACCAGAGGTCGCCCACCCGCCCGAATCTCCTGGTCCCTGGATGGGAAGGTCAGCAAGAGCTGGGTGCCAGGACCCTGCCCGGCAACTCGCTGCTTCAGCCTCTTAACCTCAACACCCTCCAGCCAGGTGGACGGCCAGGCTGCCACCTGCACAGGGGAGCACGGGGGCCTGGAGGAGCCCGGCCAGCTGCCCGTGCCCCTCACTGTGCCCCGTGTCTGTGCCCACGTGTGAGTGCGCGTGGCAACCACTGCCAGCCGGCCCACACAGCACGGCTCTTCACTAACCTGGCCAATGCGGAGAGCGGCTACAGCAGTGGCTCTCAGCCTTGGCTGCACATTAGAATCACCTGGGAATCTTTTTAAAATCCTGATTTCTGGGCCTCATCCTCCGGAAATTCTGTTTCTTTGTTACTAATGTTGATCAGGTGCATGTAATTGAGTAGATTCGAAACCCACGAGAACATTGTAAACATCTTGACCACGCCCTTCCTTTAGAGCCAGATCGTGGGATCTGACTCTAAAATAAAGACTCCACGTGCAGGCTGTGGCGCTGTCTCTCCATCAGAGAGGCGCGTCCCACCTAGCCCCAGCTTTATTCTCTTGTCTGTCTTCTCCATCCTTCACCGCCCACCCCCCTCAGGTTCACCCACGGCCCACAGCCCACGCTGCTCCCCAGGTGGTCTCCCCTGGGTTCCCTGGCCCCTGGCTACACAGACACCCACACTGTCTACACAGCTCCCTTCAGCACAGTCCTCACACCGCCCGCACCCGCTTTCCTGGGCAACTGCATACACTGACCTGGCCCTATTGCTAAGCCGCCGTCCCATTATCTACACCACCTTCCCTGTCTGCTTTCCACACGCCTTACCATCGTCTACACTGGCTCCTCTGGGCCGCAGAGAGCACTGCCCCCATCGTCTACACAGTCCCTTCGGCCACCAGCCCCGGGGAGCTGTATTCCCCGTGTCGTCCAGGCCGCTCCTGTGACCGCCGTCTGCATCGACACCCTACATTTCCTACCCTGGCTCTCGGAGGCACTCCCTCCACTGCCCCCAATGTTGGCTGCACTGGCTCCTCTAGGGTCTGTGTCCTCCTGTCATTGTCTACACGGATGGGCAGTGGCTACGCTGATTCCCTCACATGTGACCTACACTGGACACTCTCGATATTGTCACTGGGTCTGAGGGAGGAGGGGTGTACACTGACCGCCCCCAGCCAGCAAAACCACCGTCTCAGGGGCCTCCGTCTGACCGATCCCGTTTGGGGTGGACAAGCAGCAGGCTGACCCGCTCACCCCGGATTCTCTCCTGCAGGACTTGTCAGAGCCTTGACGATGGCCTGTGTGCCGTGCGTGTCCAAGTGCCCTGATCTCCCGGGACTCGCGAGGCAGGCCGGGGCCTGGCTGCCCAGGAGAACAAGGAGAGGGAGGCAGGTCCGGAGCTGCTCTGTGTGCTGCCTCCGCCCACGGCCAGGGCTCCCGGGGGAGGCATTGCCCCAGGCGCCTCCCAGGCCTCTCCACCTCGGGCTGTTCCTGAAATGCGCTGAGGCTTTCGTCTTCCGGCGTGAATCTCGCGTACCTTTAGGCCCCTCCGAAGGCTCCCTGTCACTGAGCTTGCGTGTCTGTTTCACCCTGACCCGCACCCCCACCCCGAGGTCTCCATCTCTGGCTATGACGACAACTGGCACCTCGGCCGTAGGGAGGCCACTCGGAACTGTGATGTCCGCAGCAACCCGGAGCCCACAGGCTATGGCTGGAGCACGAGAGTCTGCATGGACGTTTACTCTTGAGTCTGAGGGAGGAGGGCTGGGGGCCTGGACCCCTGGGTCTGAGGGAGGAGGGGCTGGGGGCCTGGACTCCTGGGTCTGAGGGAGGAGGGGCTGGGGGCCTGGACCCCTGGGTCTGAGGGAGGAGGGGCTGGGGGCCTGGACCCCTGGGTCTGAGGGAGGAGGGGCTGGGGGCCTGGACCCCTGGGTCTGAGGGAGGAGGGGCTGGGGGCCTGGACCCCTGGGTCTGAGGGAGGAGGGGCTGGGGGCCTGGACCCCTGGGTCTGAGGGAGGAGGGGCTGGGGGCCTGGACCCCTGGGTCTGAGGGAGGAGGGGCTGGGGGCCTGGACCCCTGGGTCTGAGGGAGGAGGGGCTGGGGGCCTGGACCCCTGGGACTGAGGGAGGAGGGGCTGGGGGCCTGGACGCCTGGGTCTGAGGGAGGAGGGGCTGGGGGCCTGGACGCCTGGGTCTGAGGGAGGAGGGGCTGGGGCCCTGGACCCCTGGGACTGAGGGAGGAGGGGCTGGGGGCTGGACCCCTGGGTCTAAGGGAGGAGGGGCTGGGGGCTGGACCCCTGGGTCTGAGGGAGGAGGGCTGGGGGCCTGGACGCCTGGGTCTGAGGGAGGAGGGGCTGGGGGCCTGGACGCCTGGGTCTGAGGGAGGAGGGGCTGGGGGCCTGGACGCCTGGGTCTGAGGGAGGAGGGGCTGGGGACCTGGACCCCTGGGACTGAGGGAGGAGGGGCTGGGGGCTGGACCCCTGGGTCTGAGGGAGGAGGGGCTGGGGGCTGGACCCCTGGGTCTGAGGGAGGAGGGCTGGGGGCCTGGACCCCTGGGACTGAGGGAGGAGGGGCTGGGGGCTGGGCTCCTGGGTCTGAGGGAGGAGGGGCTGGGGGCTGGACCCCTGGGTCTGAGGGAGGAGGGCTGGGGGCCTGGACTCCTGGGTCTGAGGGAGGAGGGGCTGGGGGCTGGATTCCTGGGTCTGAGGGAGGAGGGGCTGGGGGCCTGGACCCCTGGGTCTGAGGGAGGAGGGGCTGGGGCCTGGACCCCTGGGTCTGAGGGAGGAGGGGCTGGGGGCCTGGACTCCTGGGTCTGAGGGAGGAGGGGCTGGGGGCCTGGACGCCTGGGTCTGAGGGAGGAGGGGCTGGGGGCCTGGACTCCTGGGACTGAGGGAGGAGGGGCTGGGGGCTGGACTCCTGGGTCTGAGGGAGGAGGGGCTGGGGGCCTGGACACCTGGGTCTGAGGGAGGAGAGGATGCAGGAAAGTAAAAAGAAAGACGCCGGCCT